AAAGAAAGTTTTGATAAGAATTATCATCGCACTAATAAAATTCTCTCACTAATATTTGATCAAAATCAAGTGAAGTTATGAAAAAAGAAAGCAAATGGAGTTGTCGGTTTCCTGTTATGGTAAAAAAAAATTATACAACGCAAACCTAGATCTAAGATGGTATTATCTCATAATTTTTTTTGTCATTTCTCGGGAAAAGAACCTAAGAAAGAAATTATCTAGCTACTGGTTTTAAACTTTGAACTTTATTCTCTAGATGGAGATTGTGATCGACATTTCATCACTGTAAGAGAAAACCAATACCTAAAAGAAGTATTGAGGAATAAATTCATAAACCTCCTCACCATTATCGATTCTCATTAATGTATTGAATGCGAATTTTTATTTTGTATCTGCTTTACGAAAAACCTCAAATCCAAAGTTATAATTGAAAAGTATTTGATTTGTTTAGTTAAGTGATTACTTCCTGTGGGTGTGTGGTGCAGGATCAGAAAATCGGGAGAGTGGTCGGGACGGGTAGGAAGGAAGGACGAGGCTTTGTTCTCGAGGAGTACAAGCAGCCAGGGAGCAACTGGACAGCGGGTGCAGCCTCGAGAATGGGAGCCTGGAGCGGGGGAGGAAGAAGAGCTTGAAGATCCAGTTTGTTTGCGCAGTGATGATCCTGATTTTGTTAAGACTTTGCATTTGTCATCCGTTTTTTCAATTCGGTCGTCACAACCTGCGGATTTTTCTGTTAAGACATCAGTTTGGGATTTGTGGCATTGCCGTCTTGGTCACCCACATACAGCACGCTTGTTATCCATGTTTAGGAATAATTTGCTTTCTACAAGATTAAATGCAAATTTCAGTGTTCCTACTACTTGTATGAGCTGTATAGAGGCCAAGGCGTCTCAAGCTTCCTTCTCCTCCAGTGACACAATTTATGTTGCGTCTTTTGATCTGGTTCTTACGGATTTGTGGGGGCCATCTCCAGTCACTTCTCGGCTTGGGTTTCGGTATTTTTCCGTGTTCGTCGATCACGTGTCTCCCTACACTTGGGTTTATTTTCTTCGATCCAAGTCTGAATTGATCACTTATGCCAAAGAATTTATTCAGATGATCCGCACTCAGTTTGGCCTCACTGTCAAGATTGTTCGGTCTGACCCTGGAGGCGAGTTCACCTCGCATCCTCTTAAAGATTTTTAGTAGCCCATGGTATCATTTATCAGCTCTCTTGCCCAGGTGTTTCTCACCAAAACGGACTTGTTGAACGCAAGCACCGCCACGTCTTAGAGCTGACTCGTGCTCTCCTTCTTCACTCACTCGTGCCTAGTAGTTTTTGGATCGAGGCAATTAATATCGTTGTGTATCTTATTAACCAACATGTCGCTCCTGTCCTCGATGGGGAGTCTCCGTATCAGCGGTTATTTGGTCGGGTTCCTGACTACTCTTGCCTTTGTGTTTTTGGCTGCGTGTTCTTTGTTCTTCGGCCAAAACGCGAGCGGAACAAATTGGAGGCAAAAACCAGTGTTATTAAAGTCGAGCCGAGCCGCTCCGGTTTTATATAGCGGTTGGCGAGCGGCCGAGGCAGTTAACCGCTCGAGCCAATCGAGCCGCTCGTCCGGTTTTTGCCATTCAGCAGTTAAATTTAATTAAAAAATTGCAGAAAATAGAAAATTGAAATAAACCAAAAACTTCGGGCTCTCAAACTGAATCCTTATTTCCATTTCACAATTTCGAAGGAAAGAGATGAGCTCTGATTAAGAAATGTCCACTATTTATACTGATAACGTTTATTAGGTACCAGTTCTCTAACGATTTTTAAACGGTATATTGTCGGTTGGACCACTAAAGTGCGAGCCGTTCGCATTACCGGGTCATGCTCCGGTTCGGTTCTGACAACATTGGCAAAAACAGCTCGTTGTGTTTTCCTCGGATATAGCTCTCAGCAGAAGGGCTATGTATGTTATGACCCTCGTGAACGCAGGATTCGTGTCTCGTGTCATGTTGTTTTCTTGGAACAGGTTATGTATTTGTCAGCAGGTGATCGTGACATTGAACAGGAACATGATTTCTTGAAAACAGTGCAGCTCGCGGACTTCTCTCCAGCCTTACCTCTTCCTAATGATCCCGTGCCTGGATCACCAGGGGGGGACCGATGTGAGTTTTGATTACTCTCCTCCTCACACTCCGTCGGGCGCTGCCAATACATCTACTTCCTCTTCCTCTAGTTCGTCATCATCGTCTTCACCTCAGTTGTCCTCGCTTCATGAGAGTCCTTGGCTTCCAGTGGCAGTAGCGATTCGGGGGGGGGGGGGGGGGGGTAGTGTGTCACCTTCCCCCAGTTCCAGTGCCTCGTCGGTCCTTGCAAGGTAACATCGGTCAGCCTCCCATTCGTCTACATGATTATATTGGATTCTCAGCTGAGCCAATTCCCGTCCCTTCCTATTACCGATTTGCAAAGAATGATCCTATATGGAACGAAGCGATGAGGGTAGAAACAGAAGCTTTGGAAGAGAATCACACGTGGGACATTGTCCTGTGTACCCCCAGATATCTATGTGATTGGAAACAGGTGGGTTTATACAATCAAGATGTTCCCAGATGGTTCGATTGAGAGATTTAAGGCTTGGTTAGTTTCTCAAGGTTTCCAACAGGGGTATGGTATTGATTACGATGAAACGTTTGCACTAGTTGTTAAAATACAAACTATTCACAGTGTGTTTGCGGTGGCCGCTATGCGTTCTTGGGAGATTATTCAGTTTGATGTAAAGAACGCATTCTTGCACGGTGATCTCAAGGAAACTATTTACATAGAGGTCGAGAGGGATATGATAAGAAGGGAAAGGATGTAATCTGCAAGCTGCGACGATCGCTATATGGGCTGAAACAGGCTCCTCGAGCTTGGTTCGAGAAGTTTCACTCGACGATCATTCAGGCAGGATTTACTCAGATTCAGAATGATCCTTCGATGTTTGTGCGGAATATAGTGGATGGCATAGTATTTTTGTTATTATATGTTAACAACATGATTGTGACTGAGAGTGATCAAGGATGCATTCGAGATTTGACAGCTGCTCTGCGAGAAGCTTTCAATCTTAAGGAACTCGGTCCTGTGTCATACTTCCTTGGATTGGAGGTAAATCGTCTTCCAACTGGGTACTTCTTATGCCAAAAGAAATACATTGCCGACCTCTTAGCTTCATCAGCATACTCTGACTGTAAACCTTGCACAACACCCATGGAGCAGAACCTGAAGTTGAGTAGATAAAGTGGTGAATTGTTGGAAGACCAGACTTTCTATAGGAGTTTGGTTGGAAGTCTTATCTACCTTACTCACACGAGACCAGATATAACATACACAGTCCAGGTAGTCAGTCAATTTATGGGAGTTGCTAGGACTAGACATCTGGATGTTGTACACAGAATCCTGCGGTATTTGAAGCATACTAGCGACGTGGGATTGGTTTTCTCATCAGGTGGTGAGCCGACAGTGGAAGCATTTGCAGACGCTGATTATGCAGGATGTATTGATACAAGACGGTCTACCATTGAATGATGTATTCGGTTTGTAAAATCGTTTATTTCCTGGAGATGCAGGAAGCAGAATAAGGTATCTAAATCTTCGACTGAAGCAGAGTATATATCAGTCAATGTCTGAAGTCAGTTCAGAAATGGTCTGGTTACAGAGACTGTTTGGAGAGTTAGGGATTACGTGTAAGATGCCCATGCAGATTTATGGAGAAAATACAAGTGCAATAAAAATTGCTATCAACCCAGTACTTCATGACAGGACTAAACACATCGAAGTACATGTCCATTATGTACGACAACTCATATCAAAGGGAGTTTTTTAGATCAGTCATCTTTCGACAGATGATCAGACTGCTGATATTCTGACGAAAGCTTTGGGGTCGAGTTGTCATTGGATTCGATCTTGCAAATTGATGTTGAGTACCCAACATCAATTTGAGGGAGGGTGTTGAAAGTATAGATACCATAATGTAATTTGTATCTAGGATTTGTGATAGCAAACTATATATAGTTCGGTGTATCCTGTAACATGAACCAAGAAATAAGAAAAGCCTAAACCCTGAGAGGGAGATCCTCGTTGTAGACTAGTGTCACATTGGCGAAACCACGTTAAAAAACTTTGTGTGTTCATCTCTCGATTTCCTTTAGCTTGATATTCTAACATTCCACACTCGTAACCTGCCGATCTAATTTCAGCATCGTTACCGACGACGACCAGGAACATCAAATCAGGATATGTGGTGAGAGGGTGGAAGCCGTCAAGTGGGACCAGGGAGAGACGGTGGTGTAGAGCTCCACGGCGAGCAAAGATAAAGGGGTGATTTAAATTTTGTTTGTTTGTTTTTGGTTTGCTCAATTTTGGAGAAAATCTTAAAATGAGTATTATGTGTATTTGAATAGGTAGTGACATTGCGGTTTAACAATTAGTCAACGCTTTTGACCGTTTAACATAACTGTTAATTCGGTTTTGACCAAATAAGTAATTATTTGTTATAGTTTTGGTCATGATATTAATTAATGAAAAGATTGGTCAAAATATTAAAGAAGGGTAAAGTTCAGGTCATATAGAAATATCAACCCTAAAAATAGTGCAAATCCAAGAGAAGTATAAAAAAAAACTCAACCCGAAAACATTTTTAGTAAACCCCAAATAACATTTGTATTCAACACTATGTTTGATTGATAATTACAAAGACTCATGATTTATCCATCTAACAAACATAGCACAACATTCTTTTGGTCTATTCTCTGGAGCTGTATGCATTCCGCCCTGCAAAATTATGGCTATTTCATTCATCCTCCCCAAATAGACTGAACATCCAACTAGCTAGAAGTAGTAATGATGCTCATCAAACCCCTAACCTTAACCGTTGCATATGTCATTCCATTAGAGTACGTCCTCGTATGCCTGAAGATGTGAAATAGAGAGCTAAGTCATCCTACCCTACCAAATGAGAAACATATGTTAGCTATATTCTTACTTACCCAGCAACTTGGCCTTCCACATGCCATGATCTCCAATCTTCCACAATGGAATAGTTCAAAGCTCGAATCCATGTCTGTGTCCCCAAAAATGGCACCACGATATCATGGTCTCCGCTGTTTCAAGACTCACACATCATCATTCGTCAAGAGTTGGATCACCATCCATGAGCCAAAATGGAAAATGAAAGATATACATACGAGAGGAGGGAAATACAAAGGGTCACCTGTAGATCAATGAACGATATCCCTTGGTTGAAAGATAAACATGGTACTCGAAGCTGCTTGGAATATCACTGACATAACCCAACCCATAATTACATCTGATCCACCCATCTATTGTCCCCTGCCAGCGCCATCACCACTAACATTTTAGGCTTTTTTTATATAAATTTGTAATCCCACAGACATTTTTTTTTGTTACTGCCAACACTATCTTTACCTCTCGGACGTGAAGCGCTCTGCGGACGTGTACATCATCAGCCCAGTATTTGCAAATCAAGTACGAGTAAAATTGTGGCTAAAACATGAAAAAGCACAGTAAAAAAAAAATGAATTGGCCATTTTATGGAATGAGCTCAAGATCCCTATATAAGTATCAAGAATGTAGTAGTAGTAGCATGATTACGCTGCAACTAAAATCTGGTGCATCAATGGCTAGAGACATTTGAGCTTTATCCTGCAGGATTTTTCTTCTGGCTGCAATCTCCATCGGCTTTCTGGAAGCAAACCCACATATTGGGTCCAATATACTTCCTGGTTGGATTCCTGACAAACACTACATGTATAGGAATTGAACATTCTATTTTATTCTACACAACAAACTGCACTGGATTTAGAACCATATTGAAATTAAGGAGATGATATAATTTATATACTTGGCGAAAAGCCTTTAAGTTGTTGAGGCATTCCAAGTTGGTGGGATCTATTCTCTCGTACTCTCCCCCGCAGCTTTCCTCCAGTGACTACAACAATGCATCGATTGAACGAAACAAAAATTCAGAGGGTTCTACAAGGAAGAAAAGAAATGCAGTGTTTCATTGGAAATGATTTTAACTGATGGTGGAGATAAACCTGGTAAAGTTCATCAGAAATGAGTGCCATCCCATGTGCAAATGGAATTTGTGCGTTGTTGTCAAATCCACCACCTGTTACTGGGTTCCCAATCATGTATCCCTGGCCTCATAGCCTCTATTAGTACATAGTAACAACATGACTGGAAAAAAAAATAGAGGTTGCAAGGACTAATCTCGAAGCGAAATTAAGCGAGATAGACAACAGTAGTTCGAACCTTGAGATTTACGAATGGCTGGACGCCATTTTCATTTCCTGCAAATGGATACACATGGCAGGTAATCTTACCAAAGAAACACATGAAACTGACAAGTTGTGTATATGTAACATACCAAAGGAAAGTCGTTGGACTATGGCCGGAAGCGTGATGCCTGAGTATGAATCCCCTGCTATGTAAAGTGGATTCCACAGGAAATCGGAATGTTTCCTTAGCCACTATGTAAAAAAAAAGGAAAGAAAACAGAACATAATGAACATTTATTTTTTGTCACTATTTTTTTGTTTTCAGGTACATGAAAGACGCAAAGATACCAACTTTTCTGAGGAATTCTTCAGCATGAGAAACTTGAACAATGTCACTCGGTCGAATTGCAGTCGAGTTGGTTGTCGCGTAAGAGAATCCCGTCCCAACTGGTGAGTCTACAAATATAATGCTGGAAACCTTTGTCCAGGAGTCGGGATTGTAGAGCAAAGTCGGCAAGCTTCCGTTGTATTCCGCTACTTGAAAGCGAAGGGGACCGATTTCGAAGGCTAGGCCTGAAAGGGCAGAGCAGCCGGGGCCGCCGGTGAGCCAGAGGAGAAGTGGGTCTTGCTCTGGATTTCTCTCCGACTTCACAAAGTAGTAGAACAGCTGCACTTCCTCTGCTTCTCCCACCCCAATGTAGCTGACAAAGAGTTAGGAACTTTATTTAAAACCAAAGTACTGATTTTTTTTTTCGGGTCAAGAAAAGAGATTAGTTATTTTCCTCAATCACCCTGTTTCCAAGTCAAACGGTAGCGGGCCGTCAAAACCAGGGAGATATTTGATGGTTGATTCAGAGGCTGCTGCTGCTGCAAGTGATAACCAGAGTGGAAGGAGTATAATGATCAGCAGGAGATGACAGAGAGAGTTCGGTTTCTCCATTTCTACCAACCAAATTGCTTATGTGCTCTGTGAACTTGATTTTTGGTTGCATTGAAATTGCAGGGCTTGTTTATTTGGTAGCTGTTTCGCAAGTTCAATTATGCTAAACGGCAACTAGCTAGCATTAGCAATATGATTTGAAATCTTGACAATAAACTAATCGAAGGGGAAAAGGACCTGACCAGGTTTAGCTAATCTGAAACCTGAAACTGTCAATGAACTTGCAAAACGTTTACGTAATTTTGAGCTTTGCGTACTGGCAATCAAGAAGCCGACAACTTTGTGTTTCGTCTTCTCATTATTGATGCCTTGGGAGCTATAATAAGATTGTGATGTTTACACCAAACAGACAAACAGCGACCATTGGTGATCCCCGCAACGGCAACAGAAAGAGTTTTTGTATTCGTGGATGCCATTTCGGAGGGGCTCATTTGTCACTGACGTGAAGCCCAGAAGTGGAGATTTCGATTTGGATACGGTGGAAAAGACGAAACGCGCGTGTCGTAGTGCAGTTGGTTAGCTAGGCCCCTAGATGCATTTGCAGCCGTTGCCGTCTGATCACTGATTTTGCTGCGTGGTCAAGAGTTTCTCAATCAGGAGACAAACATGAAATTATCAAAATGTATACGTCTTGATTAGAATGGATGGGGTTCCCTTTCCCAATCAGAAAACGAGAGGATTTGATTCTATGGTGGTATAACCTTCTAGATTTACAAAAAAAAAAAAAAAGTTGGTAAAACACCATTGTATTTAGCGAAACGGTTTAAGACTTGAAACTTTCTAGTTTGTTCAAAATGGTACCATAAAACTGAATCCATGAATTAATGAAATTCCATCTATGAATTTGCTAATCTAATCTAGTAGATATCTTTATGGAGTACAATACTTCTGCCGTTTTATATGCTAGCCAACCAACGATGATAAAAATATTTAACCGCCTTCTCGATAAAGCTAGCTATCTTGACCGAGAAAGAAGGACATCTAAATTGCTTGTGTCCCACTCTTGCAATGTTGGTCTATGAACCTCTTCATCGTGTTCCCCGAGTAAATCATTATGAAGCATGCACATCAATACGAGTGCGAGATTTCCTCGACAAATCCGATTGATTATGCATGATTAATATCATATTGGTACTTTGCTCCCCTTCGCAGTGATAAGAAATTAATTATATTTAAAATTTCATCTATCGTTTAGTAATTTAGTTGTGATTCAATAACTTGGAAATACTTGGGGTAACATACATTCTTAAACTTTACGTAGTATTTTAATAATTATGAAAACCTTAAATAATATGTTTGTTTAATTGATATAAGAAATAAATGTCTCATAAGTTTTACGTAAGGTATTTGTAATTTACCTTATTGAAACCTTTGCGGCTTTGCGTAATGGAAATTGATAAGGTAATGAATATTGTAGTTGCTAATAAAGAAATTAAATTATGAAAAGTATCACATTTTATTGAGCTGTGATATAAAAACAATTGACCTTACAGAACTTTTACGTAATGCAAATTTCATGAGATGATCAAAAGTTTAGTTAATATATAGAGGAATTTTCCTTGAAATCTATATTATGAAAGACTTTGATAATATAGGTTTGACTGATATATAAGAAATAACTATTTATACGTAAGCTTTACATATTGCCTTTAACCATCCGAAAGAGTTACGTAATACGTTTGTTTAATTGATACATAAGAAATAACTATATTTTCATAAGTCTTACATAATATGTAAATATTCTGTAATGTGGAATGATGATGGCTTAAGTAGAGTTCAACGTAGAGATCCTCTCTTTTCCCTCCTTGCATGAATATTCTTACAATAATAGCGTACTATGCATAAAAGAAAGATAAAGGAGGAACAAACAACAAAGGCAGCCTCAGCCATGCAAATCAAAACATAGCTTCATTATGTGAAACTGCTGATAAGTGCAATTGTACAAACTACAAGGGCTCCCCACTGATCCACCTTCTAAACATTGCAAAACACTCGTGGGATTTGTACTCTGGAGCCGTATGCCCTCCTCCCTGCACATTCATCAAAGATTGAGCGCAAATGAAAAGTCCAACCAAAAGCCCAAACTAAGCCTTCTTTACCTTAACGGTTGCAAATGTCATCTTGTTAGAGTAAGTCCTTGTATACCTGCTCAGGATGCTCAGTTAATCAGAAACCTGAAACCCAAAAAAGTTATTAGCTAGGAAATAATTTTATGAGTACATACCCTGAAACTTGGTTTTCGACGTGCCACGATCTCCAATCGTCTACGATGGAGAAGTTGAGAGCTCTTATCCATGCTTGGGTACCCAAGTACGTCACCATCATGTCATGATCCCCACTGTTTTACATCCCCCAAAGTTCAGAATCACAGAAACAGAGAAACCAGTGTATGAACAAGACGAAGAAGAAGAAACCTGTAGACTAATGAACGATAGCCTTTTTCGGAAAGGTACAGGTGATCATCAACACTCCTAAAAATCTGATGTGCATATGGCAATCCATAATTACATCTCTGCCATGTCCCTATACTCCCCTGCCACCAGAATCAAGACCCTTTTCCTTTATCAGAAAACCAATTACTCTTCAAGCTAGTAGGTTTATGCTCGTATTGATCACGTTACCTCTTTGATATGAAGTGCTGTTTGGACAGATTTGTCGTTGGCCCAATACTTTGATAGCAGATATCCATAAGTCTAATCCAGGCATATGCACAAAATCACAAATGAGAAACTTCCCTTCCTTTCACATGAGTGTGTTAACAAGCAATGAAGGGCAGAAAAGTAATTGGGGGATTACGTGGCAGCCGATTGTGGGGAGTCTATCATTTAGCTCCAGGAATCCTTGAAATTGATCCTTCAGGTATCTTTTCCTATACAGTATCTCCATTGGCTTTGGGGAAGCATATGCACATTGTGGCTCCAAAATTTGTGCATGGTTAATCCCAGCAGTAGCCTGATGAGAACCCAAATTAGTTTGTTAGCAATAAAAGATTTAGGGATATTGGGATTACCTCATTATAGGCTTTCATATTTGTCAAACACGCGGAATTGCTGGGGTCAGGGATTTTGTAATTCCCTTCACAGTTTCTCTTCAACGACTGCATGCAACAAGTTGTCTCAATCATTTAAGCTGTGACTTTTACTTCTAGTGTTGTCCAGTTGAGAAGCTGAATATTCAATCAATCAATCAATCACCTGATAGAGTTCATAAGAGATGATTGCATGGCCAAATGCATATGGGATTTCGAAGTTGTTCTCGAAGAGGGGATCTGTTGCAGCATTTCCTAGCAAATACCCCGAACATTTGGTCAATAAATTTGTCAAGTATTCATAGAGTCGCAACCGGTGGTCATATAGTTGACACTCCATCAGGAAAGGAAAAAGAACAACAACGAACTTGAGTTGGTTCAACAAATTAAAAGAATTAACAAGAACCTTGAGATTTATGAATGGAATCTTGCCCTCCTCATTCCCTGCATTTATGATGATAATCATGGCCAAATGGAAGAATTGCATTTATGATGATAATCATGGCCAAATGGAAGAAATTACATTATCTAGTAAAAAGTCTCTTGTCATATTTTTCAAAATTTAAAAACTTACCATCTGAGATATTGGCAACTACGCCTGGAACAATGAGCCCAGAAAAAGAGTCCCCGCCAACGTACACCGGGTTCGTAATAAACTCCGGATGGTCGATCAGCCACTGTGAATCGTGATTGCGACGAAAGTAACCAAAACAAACAATCAGTAGTACCCAGATTTCTACTATTGCCAACCAGAACCAGGATGTATCAGAATTTCTTATTTACCTTTCTAAGGAACTCATAAGCTTGTTGAATTTGTAAGAAGTCACTTGATTGGGATTCTTCGATCGACGTTGCATAGGAAAATCCCGTCCCAACAGGCATATCTACAAAGATTATACTAGCCGCCTGCGAAAAATTTGGATAACAATTAGCAACCATCAATAATCATCGGTCGTTACAACCTGTCAGGAAACCAACCACCTAACTTGTGTCCATGAATCCGGATTCAAGACGAGTGACGGCAAGCTCCCATTGTACTCAACAATCTCGAAGTTCATCGGACCTGAAAATTTTCGAATTCAAAACAATTTGATAAGATGATCCCTTGAAGTGCAATTTTTTTTCTGTTATTTTTTCTTTTTGCCATGATCGGGATGAAAAACAGAAGAAACAGGGGATCCTCTGTTTTCATTTTGTTTTTACTAACCGATTTCATAAACGAGACCGGATAAAGCAGAGCAGCCGGGGCCGCCGGTGAGCCAGAGCACCACTGGATCATCCACGGGATTGCCCTCCGACTTAACGAAGTAGTAGAACAGCTGAGCTTCCTCTTTTTCTCCCACTCCGACATATCTGTCCAAAAAAACCAACCATCCATGTACCTGACAAAGAGTTAGGAACTTTATTTAAAACCAAAGTACTGAAGTTTTTCATGTTTTTTTTTTTTTGGATCAAGAAAAGAGATTAGTTCTTTTCCTCAATCACCCTGTTTCCAAGTCAAACGGTAGAGGGCCGTCAAAACCAGGGAGATATTTGATGGTTGATTCAGAGGCGGCTGCTGCTGCTGCTGCAAGTGATAACCAGAGTGGAAGGAGTACAATGATCAGCAGGAGATGACAGAGAGAGTTCGGTTTCTCCATTTCTACCAACCAAATTGCTTATGTGCTCTGTGAACTTGATTTTTGGTTGCATTGAAATTGCAGGGCTTGTTTATTTGGTAGCTGTTTCGCAAGTTCAATTATGCTAAACGGCAACTAGCTAGCATTAGCAATATGATTTGAAATCTTGACAATAAACTAATCGAAGGGGAAAAGGACCTGACCATATTTAGCTAATCTAAACCTGAAACTGTCAATGAACATGCAAAACGATTACGTAATTTTGAGCTTTGCGTACTGGCAATCAAGAAGCCGACAACTTTGTGTTTCGTCTTCTCATTATTGATGTCTTGGGAGCTATAATAAGATTGTGAAGTTTACAGCAAACAGACAAACAGTGACCATTGGTGATCCCAGGTAGGGATCGCAATGGGTCGGGTCGGGTTTTGCCAAACCCAAACCCAAACCCATGGGTTTATCTTTGAAAAAAACCTGAGGTAAAATCCACTGGGTTTGAAAAACTCAAACCCAACCCAACCCGTTGGGTATTCGCGGGTTCATGGGTACCCACGGGTTTTGTCGTAAAAAATTTACAATTACAAGTTCTTATCAAAATTAAAGTCAAATATCAATCTCTCAATACAAATTATCCATATATAAAACACTATTCTAGAAAATTCAAGCAAATCACAAATTAACTTTACAAATTGTTCAACGCCAATCTAGAAACTCAAGAAAATTGAAGCAAATCACAAATGATTCATAAATAACATGTGTTGAAAGCTTCTTCCTTTCAATTAACTTTCTTTACTCTCCACTCCATAACATCAACTTCATTCTACACAATTAAAAAGAAAAAATTAGACATGTCTCCACAAACATAAATAAGATTAGTTGTTTAGAATATTAAATACACCGAAAAAATTAATTATATGGGTGGGCGGGTACCCACGGGCCGGGTTTACCTAAACCCAAACCCAACCCAGCCCGATGAATAGTGAACGGGTTTAAACCCAAACCTGGCCCAAAACCCGTCAACACGGATTTTACCCGCGTTGACCGGGTTGGGTCGGGTGGGTACCCGTGGGTTCGGGTTTTGTTGCCATCCCTAATCCCAGGGACGGACCCACAGGTGTTTGGGTGTCCCGGGACACCCCTAAATTTTGGGAAAACGATTATCTAATCCCTGGTGATACGTATTAACAAAAAAATTATAATTGATAGTCGGAGACACCCTTGAAATTTAAAAAAGTGATTATCCTACTCTCATCTTTTAGTTTGAGTATGAGAATATAAGTGGTAGTTTGGGTAATTCAAACCTAGGATACTTTTATTATTAATAAACATAATTTTCATTAGGCTACAACTCATATGTTATTCGATTTTAAACACTGTGTAATAGTAAAATATCATTATTTATCTCTAATTATTTTCAAAATCTAACAATTAAACAAATTTCAAGCTACCCTTAATTTGTGTTGATTTTATGGTTATACGGTAAGTGTTGAAAGAGTCTTTTCAGCTTTGGATTACTTCAAGAACAAGTTTAGAAATCGAATATGTGATCAGTTCGTGAATGATTGTCTAATATGATATACATAGACAATTTTTTTTTAACAGTCTAGACCCAAGTGTATTCTACTATCATTTTCGAATATGAAAACACATCATGAATTTTTTCAAGTTGTATGAGTAAGGTATTTCTTATTTAAATATTATTTATTTTTATTAATTATTTTAAAATTATTTGTATTTAATTTATTTTTTAAAAAAGAACACCCCAATGTAATATTTCTGGGTCGGCCACCGGATGATCCCCGCGGGCCGTGACGGCAACGGAAAGAGTTTTTGTATTTGTGGATGGCATTTTGGAGGGGCTCATTTGTCACTGACGTGTAGGGGTGTTCAAACGGTTTGGTTACCATGGTGATCATTTTAACCAGTAGTATTTGGCTAATTTGGTTTGGTTTGGTTAAAAAATTTAGCTTGTTTGGTTTAAGTGGTCTGGTTTGGATTCAGGCACTCCTAACCAATCAAACCAAATTAACCAGTTAAGTAATTTCTCATATATCTAATATATATTATATACACATACTTAATACTTTGCATAACCACTCAAAAGTCAAACATAAGATAATTGTATTTATTACATGTATTTACGTTAATGGTTAACTATAATTATGTGGATTGTTATGTGTTGTTCATTATATAAACTAGTTTTTTAGCCCGTGCTCCGCAACGGGTATCTATTACGTTAATACGTTGGAAGTTTTAACGTGTTAACAATCTTTTAATCCAAGTACTCACACTGAAAAACGTGTGCGCCAATATTATGAATAACTGAAGTAATTACTTCGAACAAAATAACAATCTCATAATCTAAATGTTCAAAAGGTAGTGTTTGTGCTTTGAGGGAAAGAGAAACCAAAATCTCTATATACAAATACAATTATAAAATAGAGTTAAAATTGTTCTTAGCATGGCGGTAACTTGTTCTCCATGATTGACAATGAAGTTCCTTTTCCTGACAGCTTGAACATCTGAAAACACAGACGCATGGAGGTACAATACGAATTGCTTGTTGGTGATCTAGAGAGAAAATGAATTATTCAAAATCAATAGTTAGTTAAGAGCATGTGAAGAATAAGGGAAAATATATTTATTGATGAATTAAATTATATAATTTTATCCTTAAACAATACGGTTGTAGTCCATTAAGATAATATGAATCGCCAATAATATTGGATTGTCATTAATGTGAAAAAAATTTCTTGCTTTATGATGAATATTTTCAGCTGAATAGTAGTGTTATTTCGCACTTTATATAAAGTATTTCACCACCAAATTAACCTTGTATCCTCAATTTATTCTCAAGTTGGTTCCTTCACACAATTTGTTTGGAGTCTCGACTTAACGATTGAATTATTCATTTTTCAAATGGATGCATCAACTCTTTCTAATTAGCAAATGTAACAGTTCTCGCAAATCATTAAATCATTAATCAGTTCTTGATGGGTTTGTCGGTGTTTATAGTCTTCATTTTCTTATTAAGAATTAAAAGCTACACATATTGTTAATATTAAACATTTCAAATCACAATCCTAATCGTACTTAGTAGACGAAGAGTGATATGTGCTAAATGCCAGTGTCTTGTTTCTTGCCATGAAATCTGAAAGCATCCATATTGATATTCCAGATCCTGCTCAATTATAGAACTGGCATCTACCTTACCCAAAAACCATAAATACACTGATTGAAAGAATCATGAAAAGGTGTTTATTCTTGTTATAGTTCTGCTAACATGAATTACTCATAAATATGTATTGATAATGAACGGTTGCAACCATCAGAATACCCATGATACATTATGCGTAAAGGCTAAAGCATGTTCATTATCGATTTACATTGAGTGAATGAGCGGCAATTTAAGCAACAAAGCCACTATTGAATACCTAACGGGAAATAAAAACCAAATGACACCCTTCTAAGGTCTTTTGGGTTATAATGAGAAAATTATCCAACGGTCAGTAAAGCACTACCATTTGTCCATCATTTTACTTGTGAAAAAAATCATCATTTTTATAATATAAATGTAATTTTATTTAATTAACACAAAATAAACATTAAAGACAAATCTGCAATTCTGGAAAAACGGCAACAAAGATAGAACGGTAGCAAAGAGCAAAGAACCTAAAAACAACATCGAAGGAGCCAAACATGCATACAACAACAATCCTTTGTACATCATACTCTCATAATTTTGTCAGCTTAACTGTTTCTCTATTCAGCTTGGTAGAACGCTGACAGAAAAATGCATGCTAAATTGTTATACATACTTGTTTTAAAACTCTGGTTCATGATGTTATCAAAAAAAAAAAAAAAAAAACTCTGGTTCATGATCATCCCTTAAATAGACAAACCAAAGTTTCATAACAAATTACCATTGTGAAATGAGAAACATGTATTCACAAAAGCAACAACCGAGCCCTCTGGTTTGATCACGTCAACACTTTGACATGTTACTGCCTAACACTTATAGATAGCGGCTGGCAGGACAACTGAAAATATAACAAATAAATGAAACTTTTCTATAAATAAGAAACCAAATGTATAAGAAACACATAAACCCCAAGCTTAGCAGAGCAAGTGAAACTTTTCTATATCAAGATGATGATTAATGTGTTCCTCTAGTCTCTACTTAGGTTAGAACCATAACAGTCGACAAAATCTTGATTAGTGATGGGATAATCATCATTGTCACTCACAAAACCTTGATATATAATTCCAATATATTAATCAACCATAGAGGTGGCAATTGGATTGGATTCGTGGATTCGTGGATTGGATTGGTGGATCCATGGATCAAATGGATTGAATCCAATGGATTGGTGGATTCATGGATTGGATCAAATGGATTGGTGGATTGATCCATGAATCCAAATGATATCCAAGCCTTGGACCAAAATGTAAATTTTGAAAAGTTTAGGTACTAAAATGTCATAATGAAAAACTTTAGGTACCAAAATGTAATTTTTCAATGATATTTTTCGTATAAAAATATAAATTTTAGGTACCAAAATGTAAAATATAAAAAATATAGGTACCAAATTGTAATTTGCCATTTGGATCCATGGATTGATCCATAAATCCACCAATCCAATTGGATTTGGATCAAATGGATTGGATTTAAATGGATTGGATTAAATGGATAATTTGGTGGATGGATTGGATTGGATTCATGGATTTGGATCCTTATTGCCACCTCTAATCAACCAGCATATACAACCAATACCAAGAGCCAAATATAGTGAACTGGATCTAATTTACCTGAAATTCAAATCAAAGAACACCATTATCAAATTCTAATTAACTAAGGCCACGCTGCTGCTATTTGCTTCTCTTGCCTTCAGCTTTTGGTGCATATAAAGAAGCCAAATCGGATGCACATATAGTAATTACTAAATGTATTTGACACATGTGGTTAATAGATCAAGAATTCAAGATCCAAACTTTACCTTGGCAAGCCAAGTGCATACCTCCCA